GGCCTGTGGGTGGGCTCTGGAGGAAGGCTGGGCTAAGTAGGTTAAAGAGAAAGTTTACCCACCAGTGGAGATGACCTGAGCCCTGCTCCGTTTCCCAGAAAATTCTCCCAGGGTTCTCCCTCTGCTTGCACAGAGAGGTTGGGCAGCCTACCAGCATTGCACAGCCAATCCAGCCAGCCTCTGAGCTGGATGTCCCAGAACCAGGAGTGCATGCCAGGCACTTCACCTGCCTTGATTTCTTGACCCTGAGTCTATGTGCACAATGGACTCATGTGAGTATAGTCTTTAAGCACCTACTAAGTTCCAGGGACAGTTTCCAGAGTTTGAGTGAACACTAGGTGCCCTGCTCTCTTGAAATATGGCACCCAGTGAAGACACCATCCTCAAGCCAGGGTCACCGTAGTGTGAGTGACAGCCACCACAGGCTCCCTACCCTGGTTCACAAAGGCTGTGGCAGAGCTGGCTCTGGGGTCTATGAGTGAGGACCCACCAGAGTCTGAGGTCCCTACCATCCAGGAGAGACCAAAGGGAGCTCTTGGTGTCTGAACGTGGAACCCAGGAGGGGAGGGCCAAGCCTCAAGTACTTCCCTCCCCCAACTGCTGGCCTGGCAGCTCCTCAAAAGAGTGAGAGTGTCAATTAGCCTTGGGAGACCACAGGCTCTGAAATAGAACCTCCTTAGCCCCAGCTGTCCACAGGCTGAGTCACTCTGGAATGTGGCCTGGGCTTGGATTGGCTTGGGGTCCAGTGCAGGGGAGACGCTGGCTGCCTGAGGGGCTGGGCGCCCAGGCTCCAGCTTCCTGCCTTTGTCTGCGCCTTCTTGGGCTTCTCTGTGGGAAGAAGGGCATGGCCAGAAATAACACCTGGTCCCCCGCACCATCGCCACGGTAGGGTAAAGCCACGGAAGAAGCCCCTCTGGCCCAGGGACAATCACAGGTGGGGGTGGGGTACCACATGGGAGCCCAGCACTCTGGACCATGGGGGACCTCCAGGCAAGGATCTCAGCCTCTCCATGCCTCCGTTTTCTCCACTGTAAAGTGGGCGCTGTGGTCCTCACAGTGTCGGGGGAGGAGTCACTGAGTCAGGAGGGAGGAGCCACCGAGTGTCAGTAGGAGCCACTGATTTCTGGGCTCTGAACAGCTGCTACTACCCAGCAAAGCAACACTGGCCAGTGTTATGGTGGGGCCGTTTCTCAGTAAAGGACACTCAGGCGGCTTCTGGGTCCTTCTCCCACTCACTCCTGGCTGCCAGGTGTCAGGTGATCTCCTCGATCTTCACCCTCGTCAGATGGACAGTGTTCACAAGGCAGCTCTTCCCACTTTATAGACCAGGAAACAGGCAGAGAACAACCAAGTCATAAGCTGGCAGGGAGTACCTCTGGGATTTGAAGCCAGGAAGTCTGGTGTCCAAGTCTGGGTGGTGCCCACTGGCCTTCCGGCCTCTCTTGCACAACCAACTTCTCCTGCTCTTGATCCCGGACTTGGGCAGGTGCACATTGGCTAGTGACAGCCGGCCTAGCCCTGGGCTTCAAAGGGACTGGGAAGGAAGAAGGCCCCTGGCAGCTCCAGGAAACCCCTTGCAGAGGAGACATGCTGGCTTTGTTGGTCTCTGGGCTTGCCAATGACTCAGAAGCAGTCTACTGAGGGAAAGCTGAGGGGCTGGAGGGCGAGGCACTTCCTGTGTCGCCCAACATCACCTGTGGGTCTGCTTCAGTCTTGCCCAGCCTTGGCCCTCTTGTCCCGCACACCTCTGGCCCCCACTCTCTAGGGACTCTGGAGGTGTGGAGGGCAGAGGGAGAAGGGTAGGGGGAAGCCCGTGCTCTCCTGAATTGCCGGATGTGAACCAAAGGCCCTCACTCTGGGAGTGGGAGAGCCGATGCCAGGCCTTCCCTTTTGGACAGTCGCCAGAATCTCTTGACCCCGCCCTCCTTCCTCGCCCCTCTCTACTGCTGCCCTTTATAAAAGCAGCTGAGTCCCTGACAGACTCCTGCTCCACCCCTCCACGGGATCCTCAATGTTTGGCGTAGAAGCCAGACTCTCCTTGACCTTCGGGCTCTCATGGTTCTCAAGGTCATCTCTAACAGCCTCTGTCACGCCTCTATGCATGCTGCCATCCCAGGGCCTCAGCCCCTGCCCTCCCCTTGCCAGTAGGTTCTCGTCCCCCCCTGCCTGAGTGTTCTCACCGTCAGCCCCTTCCCTGGGGACACACATCTTCCTTCATGCTCTTCTTCCATGCGGTCTTTCACTGTCCTAGCCATTGCCCTGTACTTTTCACTTGATGGGATGTAATTCACATACCATAAAATTCGCCACTTAAAACTATAACTCAACGTTTTTGTATAGTCAGGGAGCTGGACAGCCGTCATCCCTGCTTCCAGAACATTTCTCTCCAAACAGAACCCCTGAATCTGTTGGCAGATGTTCTCCGCCCTTGTTTCCCAGGCAGCCTCTAATCTATGCCTAGCCCACTGGCTCTCCCGACTCTTGGGTCTCGCTTCTACTTAGCTTCGTTTTTCTTTAAGGCTGAAAACTCTTCCGCAGCGTGGACACACCACATTTAGCTGTTTCTGCTCCAAGGCTGTTATGAGCAGCACTACTGTGAGTGGCCTGCCTATGTGTGAACACGTTTCTCTTTCTCGGGGATAAATTGCTTCCTCGTGTATTATGCGCAACTGTTAAGGAACTGCCAGTTTCTAAAACAACTGCAACCATCCATGTGTTCCAGTTTCCTATTATTTATTTATTTTTGTGGGGTTTTTCTTGTTTTGTTTTGTTTTTTTCAAGACAGGGTTTCTCTGCATAGCTTTGGAGCCTGTCCTGGCACTCACACTGTAGACCAGGCTGGCCTCCAACTCACAAAGATCCACCTGCCTCTGCCTCCCAAGTGCTGGGATTAAAGGCGTGCGCCACCACCATCTGGTGTGTTCCAGTTTCTACACATCCTTGCAAACCCTTGTTTTCCTTTAAATGTTAGAAAGAAAGGAAGAAAGGAAGAACTGCAGCCATTAGAGTGTGTACAAAATAGTGCCTTGTGATTTTGTTTACCCTTGCCCAGGAAAATAAATGCCCGCTGCTCATTTTAGCATCTTCTTTGGGGAACCATCCTGTTCAAATTCTTTGCTTGTTTTAGTTGTTGGTTTTTGAAAGAGTCTTCATCGAAGCTGATCTCAAAATCATGATTCTCCTGCCTTAGCCTCTTGAGCGCTGGGATTCCAGGCCTGGCCACCATGTCTGGCTCTTCTTTTTTTTAATTTCTTTTTTTTTTAGACAGGGGTTTTCTCTGTGTAGCCCTGGCTGTCCTGGCACTCACTCTATAGACCAGACAGAATCTGGCTCATTTTTAAATATATATATATATATTTATCTGCAATGTTGGGGATTGACACTCCACAGCTTCGTGACTGATAGGCATACACTGTACCACTGCAGGCTGGCTCCAAACTCACAGAGATCTGCCTGCCTCTGCCTCTGCCTCCTGAGTGCTGGGACTAAAGGTGTGTGCCACCACAGATTGGGTTTCAGGCTCATGAATTTTGAAACTAGGCTGTTTGTTCTCTGTGGCTGAACCGTGTCTCTCTTGTTCACTCCCTAATGGGTCTGGGGGCATCGGCCCAGGTCTCTGCTCTGTCTTCTCCAGTATCCAGGTTAATGTCTGCCTTGTGGTTAATGTTTGGTGAGTGAGTGAATGAACCACAGCATGAGGAGAGTTATGACAGTTCACTCATTCATTCATTTGTTGGCTTTCATTCACTGAGTAAATCACTGTCAGTTATTCACACATTGGTCACTCATTTCTTCAGTCACTCATTCATTCACCGCATCCCTATGGTTCTGGTGATTCTCCGTCTGAGACAGGGAGCTCCCAGGGGCTTCCTCAGCTCCTGGTTCCTCCCACGGAGTTGGCAGATGAGATGTAACTTCCTATAGAAACTGAGCACAGGCGCTGTGAGTCTGGGTGGTAGTTAGTTATTGTATTTCAAGCTAGCAGCTGGTCCTGGGTTAGGGTGGGGATGGGCAGAGTCCACATGGAAGGGAAGCCAACTGCAGAGACTGACCCTTATATTCCTTTCCTGATTTGAATTCCTTTGCCTGGAGAAGTCCCATCTCCCCATCAGGACTGGCCCATTATGAAGAAAGCTTGTTTTAAAGTCTGTTCCCTGGGGCTGGAGAGACGGCTCCCCTGTTATGGTGCTTGCTGCTCTTTTAGAGGACCTGGTAGAGTTCCCAACATCCATGCTGGGCTGCTCACAACTCTCCAGGCCTTGTGGTAGGATCCTGCAAGAACCTTACATTGCTCCTTTCCCCGGGAACCCTGGCCCTGAACAGTGCAGACATAGCCTTTGTGGGGAGATGAGGCAGCCTGCATTTTGGCCTTCCTCCAGGCCATACACGGAGGGCTGTCAGGTTTGCATCCATGGAGAGGGGTAATGAACCCTGTGTCCTTGCCATGGATACCACCCTCTTCCTGTGGGCAGGAGAGGGAATGTGAGATGGCCCAAGCCCAGACTGGCTCAGAGGACTCTGCCCTTCTGCTGGGTTCTGGAAGCTTCCTCCCATGGGGAGTCACCTATGCAGTAGACCCTGCCTGGCTCCTAGGACCCACCCTCACCTTATACAGAGGCTAATGGGACTACAGAACATGACTGCACCGGCCATCTTCGCCACAGACCCTGTCAGGAACCCCACCCCACTCAGACACAGCCACAGTGCTGCTACCCACACGACCACAGGGCCTCACCCAGAACCTTTCTGGCTCTGGCTACAGCCGCACATGCTTGTCCTTACCCTGTTGGCCCACCCACACCTGCTCCCATACTTTCCTTTGAACCCATAGCACCAACCCCAGGGCCTTGATTCTTGCTGCTCATCTTGCTGGAAAGAGGTTTTCTCGCAGAAGAAAAACCCCCAGTTGTCTGTTCAGCGCCTCCTCTGACTTCCCCATGGCCTCTACTCTGTCCCTCCCTTGCTTTATCACATGGTGCTAAGTGCTGTGGTTTCTGCAGGCGACCTGGCGAGCCTCCCTTGGACCTGGGCAGCATCCCCTGGCTGGGCCATGCCTTGGAGTTCGGGAGAGATGCTGCCAGCTTCCTTACCAGGATGAAGGAGAAGCATGGTGACATATTTACTGTGAGTATCTCTAGGAGGAAGGGGTGAGTGACTGGCTCATTGCTGGGGTCACCGACTCCTTCAACATCTACCCACACACTGACCCATCCATCTGTCACTTGTCCAACTACACATCACGTATCAGTCATCAGCAGAGCGCTGTGCTCTAAGGGTGTCTGGAAACAGGCACACCCAGGGATGGGTTTCCACGTTTAAGGTGCTTCTTGATGCAATCAGATCGGGAATTAAGATTAAATATTACACTTCCACCCATCCACTTATCCATCTGTCTTTCTGTATACTCACCCTGCATGTCTATCATCTCTCATCTGTCTATCCTATCTTTTTTAAGATTAATTTCTCTCTCTCTCTCTCTCTCTCTGTGTGTGTGTGTGTGTGTGTGTGTGTGTGTATGATAGTATGATACCTGTTCGGATGACTGCAAAGGCCAGAGAGAAAAGTGTCAGATCCCCCGGAGCTGGAGTTACAGATGGTTGTGAGCCACCATGTGGGTGCTGGGAGCTGAACTCAGGTCCTCTGCAAGAGTAACCAGTTCTCTTAGCCGCTCTCCATCTGTTTTCACCTATCAAAATTCACCCAGCATTCTTCTCTCATTCACCAACATCTGCCCGGCTTCCATCTCCAGATTCCATTTCCACTGACTTCCTCCAGTCTTCTCCCTGCCTTTGTCTCCATCAACCACTGCCTGCCCAGCGCTTACCCTCTATCCATTCAGCGCCTGACTCTGCTTGACTCTCTGCACATGTTTTGTATTTTATCCATCCACCCACCCACCGACCACCCACCCACCCACCTACCCACCACACATCCACCCATCTACCCACCACCCATGCACCCATCCACCCAATCCATCCACCCACCTACCCACCACCCATCCACACACCCACCCATCCACCCACCACCCACCACCCATCCACACACCACCCATCCACCCCCACCCATCTACCCACCACCCATCCACCTATCCATGCAGCCACTCACCTACCCACCCACCCATCTGTGCACCCACCCACCATCCACCCACCCACTCATGCATCCACCCACATGTCTACCCATCTATACACACCTATCTGTTGTGGAATATTATTTTAAGATGTATTACATTCATTTATGCTGTGGAACAGTTGATTAATGATGCAAGGATGTGTTGCATTCTTTTATGCTGTTTTGTTTAACTCTGTGAGGCTGTGCACTTTACCTGCCTAAAACACCTGGTTGATCTAACAAAGAGCTGAACAGCCAATTGCAGGTAGGAGAAAGGATAGGCGGGGCTGGCAGGCAGAGAGGATAAATGGGAGGAGAAATCTGGGGGGAGAGAGAGCTAGGAAGAAGAGGAGGTTGAGGAGTGAGAAAAGAAGGGGCCAGACACCCAGCCACATGGCCGGACATGGAATAAGAAGTAAAGAAGGTATATAGAACAGATTAAGATAAAAGCTCAGAGGCGAAAGGTAGATGGGATGGTTTAAGAAAAGCTGACTAGAAATAAGCCATGATAAGGTAAGGCATTCATAAAAAAGAATAAACCTCTTTGGGAGCTGAGTGATGGGCCCCCAAAGAGCCAAAAAATAAATAAATAAAATAAAAACAAATAACAACAAAACAAAACCCAACAACATTTTGGTGCCCAACATGGGGTGCCATATGTAAACATCGGTTCGGACAAGAAACATCCATTTACACCTACCCATCCATCCATCTACCTACCCACCACCCACCCACGCATCCATCCATCCATCCATCTACCTACCCACCACCCACCCACGCATCCATCCATCCATCTAGCTACACCACCCACCCACGCATCCATCCATCCATTTACCTACACCACCCACCCACGCATCCATCCATTTACCTACACCACCCACCCATGCAACCACCCACTCACCTATCCACTCATTCATCGTTTGTCCATCTTTTCAGCTCCTTCAAGCACCCCTCATTCTCAAATGCTTCCAGCTCTTGGCCCTCCAGCATTCATCCTTCTTAGCATATTGTCACCCATGTCCCTAACATTCTAACATGCATTCATCCACCTAACAAATTAATTGATCTGTCCTGTCCTCAACCTGACACACTCAACCTAACACCCTCTATCTCTCCTTCCTCTTACCTTCTTATTTTCCTCTACCCATCCATTGTTTTCTTCCGTTCATTTCTCCTTCCTATATCAATTCAGTCACCATTAGCATTTACCCATCCACTTACCCACATTTCCATTCATCTGTTCACTTATCCACCTACCCACCTACTCATCTACAGTTAGTCTGCTAGCATTTACCCAGTCATGTCCACCCATCCACTCACCCTCCCCTTTTTGTGGTAATGGGGGTTGAACTCAGGACCTCTTGCATGCTACGCAAGTGCCATACCATTTTTCATTTTTATACCCCAGCCCTCTCTCTCTCTTCATTTGGAGCAGGATCTTACTATTACCTGGGTTGGCCTGGAACTCACTCTAATCCAGACAGACCTTGAAGTTGGGATCCTCCTGCCTCAGCTTCTTGAGTAGCTGTGATTATAGGCCTGGCTACAACCTTTGATTTTAGAAGGCTTTAGCTGGTCTTAGCCCTGCTTCTTTCCAGCATGGAGACTTTGTTCACAGTGTCCCTTCTCCCAGCCTAGATGGGCGAGTGGCGGTCCCTAGCTCACAGAATTGGTGGGACAATCAAGAATGATGCCGGTGGGGCCAGTGCTTGCCCACAGATGGCTGAATGCAGAGTGCTGCCACCATTCCCAACCTCCAACAGGTGCTGGTGGGAGGCAGATGTGTCACTGTCCTCCTGGACCCACACTCCTATGATACGGTGGTGTGGGAGCCGCGCACACGGCTGGACTTCCACCCTTATGCCATCTTCCTCATGGAGAGGATTTTTGATCTGCAGCTTCCACATTTTAACCCCAGTGAGGAGAAGGCCAAGATGAAGCCGTGAGTACAGAGCTGGGCCTGTGGGTGGGCCTGGGCTGGGTTGTTTGGCCTGTCTTAGTCATGGTTTCTCATGACTCATGAAACACCATGAGCAAAGCATCTTGGGAGAGGAAAGGGTTTATTTGGCTCACACTTCCACATCATAGTCCATCATTGGAGGAAGTCAGGACATGAACTCAAACAGGGCAGGATCCTGGAGGCAGGAACTGATGCAGAGGCCATGGAGGGTGCTGCTTACTGGCTTGCTCCCTAAGGCTTGCTTAGTCTGTTTTCTTATAGAACCCAGGACCACCTGCCCCAGGATGGCCCCACCCACAATGGGATGAGCCCTCCCCCATCAATCATTAATTAAGAAACTGTCCTATACAGGCTTGCCTACCGCCTGATCTTATGGAGGCATTTTCTCAATTGAGGTTCCTTCCTCTCTAATAACTCTAGCCTGTGTCTAGTTAATATAATACTAGCTAGCACATCCATGAAGCCACTGTCCCAGAAAGACAGTTAAAAACAAATGCAACTGGAATCACTGTCTGGCCCACACCTGCTGGTCCTTGTCGCCACCACTAGGTTCCACAGGTAGCACCACGCCCTAGACGCTCCTCCGGTCACTTGCTGCCAATTGTGGCTTAGATGGAGCTTTAGTGTAGACAGAGCACCTCTCACCCTCTGCTCTGAGCAGCAGCTCCCCAGGCTCTGCTAGCAAGAAGGAGACCCAGTATGGACCTCACTCTTGCCACATGCTCCCTAGACTTTGTCACTCAGGTGCACACGAAGGGACCAGGTTAGTGGCCCAATCTCTCTTTGTCTCATCTGAAACTGTAGTTGCAGCCTTCTGCTGGATTTCACGGCGAAGGAGCTGGCTAGGCTCTTTCCCAGGCCCACCTTGTCCTGAAGCTCGTGGAAAGCCCACGGGTCCCTTGTCCATGTTTGTGCACCAGGCTAGGACAGACTGCTCTGGCCAAGAGCTCATAATGTGGAGTGGGGCCGACTAGGGTTCAGCCCCACACTGGCTGTGTGGCCTTGTCCTGATGCTGTCCTTCATGCCTGAGTTTCTCCGCTGTAAAAGTGTCTCGGTGGTAACTGTCATTCCTTTGACATGCGCACGGTCTTTTCTCTGAGTACCCCAAGTGGTGAGTAGCTAACTTCTGTTGCTGGCCGCAGGATGCTGATGCACAGAGACCTGCAGGCGCTCACAGAAGCCATGTACACCAACCTCCGGACGGTCCTGCTGGGCGACTCCACAGAGGCAGCCAGTGGCTGGCGTGAGACAGGTCTCCTTGATTTTGCCTACAGCTCCCTACTGAGGTGAGCCCACAACCCTGCCGTGGCCAAGGGGGGGGTACCCTGTAGGTGATGCTTGAAGCAGAATGTAGGAGGGGAACATTCAGGCGAGACCCCAAACTCACCTCACATGACTTGAGCTGTAAAGCAGACGCTAGTTGTGAAAGGGCCCCAAGTGTTCCCTGGGGCAGGAGTTGCCTCTTTGGCTTCACAGAGCATCTGTGCTGGGGTTTAGACTCTGGCTTTCAGAGGCCAGCAGAGAGGATGCTTGGGGGACCAGGGAGCTTATCCTGAGGCCAGACTCATGACTGTAGTAAAAACAGTACAGCCAAGCGCAAATCCTTCAGCTGCGCTGTGTCCTCAATGGTCCCATGGGACACAGCAGAGACCATAGCAAATGAGTTCCTTCTGCCTGAGAAGGCACAGATCCAGAGATAGGACATCAGGGGGTGCTTTTAGTCTCAGTGATGAGGTCTAACTGTGGGGCTGAGGGGTGCCTGCTGTACCAAGACCCTGGTGAGGAAACGGCATGTGCAAAGTTCCTGGTGGGAAGGAGCCGGGTGAAGGGGCCGGTATGGCTACAGCAATGGGGGCAAGTGACAGAGGGGGAACAGGTGGAGACGTCTGCAGAAGCCAGTCTCACAGCCTGCAGGAAGACCTCGGGATGGAGGCTTAGCCGGGCGGCAGTGGTGCTCCCTTGGGGACTTACAAAGGGCCCGCTACAATCTCATGTGTAAGCTTTACGCTCCCGTGTAGGGGACATCTATAGGTGCGAACCAGGCAGAGGGACCCACTCATAGGTGAGTCCCAGTGGCAGCCTGTGCCTGGGAGAATGCGCAGTGGACAGGACCTACTGAAGGCTTTTAACAGGTGGCTAGGGACCGGGGACTGGGCATCTCCATGGTTTGCAGAGCCGCTTAAAAAGAACAAGACATTGTAACTATCCCCAGAAGTTCAGAGCCACACACGTGCATTTCTGATAAAGGGCAACTGTTTGTTGGCTACACACTGGTGGCATCAGGTCTGTGTGGAATGGATGGGTAAACTCACTTCGTGTCCCATAAGGTGGTAATTTACAGACTCCACTCGTTAGATGGGAAAACTGAGACCTGGGGACTCACCTGGAGTCCCTGTCCGGGTCATAAGCGGCTGCTCACAGCCACGCCTTCAGTGTGGCTCCCTGTTCATGTGATGTTGGCTCCCCTGTTCTTCAAGATGAAGATCTAATTTAAAGATAGCTGAATCTGACCGGTTCTGGCACCGAGTGCCACCTAGTGGCCTCCTTGAACCACTTACGCTTACAGGGAAGCTGACTTAGGTTCTGGGCTGTGTCTTGCTCTTATCTACCCAGAGTATAGTCAGGAGAGGGGAGGGAGAGAAACTTCCAGGCTGAGGCTGAGGTAAGGGTAAGGTTGAGCTTGGTCTCTGACCCTTCACTGTTCCTAGGGGGAGGTGGGCTTCTTGTTAGCCTAGAGGACAGAGAAGAGTCCCCTACGCTGAGGGCTTGTCTCCAGGGACACAGACACTAGCCTGGCCTGGGAAAGGGAAGTGATGGTGACCCTGAAGGCTCCTGTCAGAGACTTGGATAACCTGCCAGCAGAGTTCTCGGGAGTGCGTTCTACTTATCTACCAATCTTTCTAGTCACCCCATCACCACATCCACCCATTCCCTCACCCATTCAACTATCCATCCATCTGCTCACCTTCCTACTCACCACCCATGCACCCACTCATCCCTCCCTGTGTCCCCCCACCCATCCACACCCACCCACCCCCTCATCCGTCTGTGTATCCGCCAACCCAGCCTCTCAGGTATTTCTCCATCGTCCTACCGCCGCCCCCACCCAGCATTCATTGCAGGCCCTACTGCCGCATACACTGTGTGGGTGAGGTGCAGGCTGTGGCCTAAGCGTGGATCTCTCTGTCTCACCCCCCTCATTCTGGTGTCCCCCATCTTCCTGCTTGGAAAACCCTCTTCTGGGAGACCCGTGACTGGAGGAGCTCAAGCAGGGGGAGCGGTGGGCTGTTTTATCCTGTTGTGGTGTAAAACACTCTGACTCGAAGCAACTTGGGGAAGAAAGGATTTATTTCATCTTACATTTATAGGTCTCAGCCTGAGGGATGTCAGGACAGGAACTAAAGAGAGGAACCTGAGGCAGGGCAGGGACTAAAGACAGGAATGTGACTTGTTGCTGTCATCCCCAGAGCCGGCTACCTGACCCTGTATGGAGTGGAGGCCTTGCCACGCACCCATGAGAGCCAAGCCCAGGACCGTGTCCACTCGGGTGATGTCTTCCACACCTTCCGCCAGCTGGATCTGCTGCTCCCCAAACTGGCTCGAGGCTCCTTGTCAGCGGGTAGGCACCATGAGGATACATCAGAAATGGGTGGTAGGCTGTCTTAGAGCTTCTGTTGCTGTGAAGAGACATCACGACAACAGTAACTCTGATGAAGGAAAAACATTGGGGTGGCTTACATTTTCAGAGGTTCGGTCCATTATCATCATGGTGGGACATGGCAGCATGCAGGCAGACGTGGTGCTGGAGAAGGAGCCCAGAGTCCTGCGTCTTGACTCACAGGAAACAGGAAGTGGTCTGTCTCACTGGGTGTGGCTTGAGCATATATGAAATCTTTAACCTGCCTCCAACAAGACCACACCTACTCCAACAAGGCCACACCTCCTAATAATGCCTTCCCTTTGGGGATCATTTTCTTTCAAATCATCATAGGCCCCATGCACAGACCGAATGGTATTTCCCTCAATAAGCAACAAAAGCCAGGCTTGGTGGCACATTCCTTTAGTCCCAGCACTTGGGAGGCAGAGGCAGGCGGTTGTCTATGAGTTTGAGGCCAGCCTGCTCTACATAGCAAGCTCTAGGATAGCCGAGGCTACATAATGAGATCCTGTCTCAAGCAACCAAAAATTAAAGTAATTAATTAATACAAAAGAAACAGTAAAAACCCTGCTGTGATAAAGTATCCAAGGGAAACATTTTAAAGACAGAAGGCTCTATTTTGACTCTTGGTTTCAAAGGTTTCAATCCACAGCCACCTGGCTCTGTTGCTGTTGGCCTGAGGTGTGGCTGCCAAGTAGGTGCACTTGGCAGAGGAGGCCGCTTGCTTCGTGGCAGCCAGGAAGTGGACAAAGCTGGTCTTGGGGAAAAGGCACACTCTTCAAAGACACATCCCCAATACCACTAGCCCTTTCTAGCAGTAAACTCTGCTGGGCATTAACCTATCCGTGAGTCTGTGTCCCACACTCCAGCTCTCTCTCCATAATGCCACCAACTGGGTACCAAACCATCAGTACATGAGCCTGTTGGGGACACATTTCATATCCAGACTATGGCGGTCCATTTGGATTCAGAGCTCTTGAGGAGACCAGGCCAAGTGCACATTTGATGGGAGCCATGAGGAGGCCGGGAAGAGCCACACGTTCCGGAATCTCTGGCGGCTTTGAGCTAGCCACTTCTCTCTGTCCCCTGCTCTGATGGCACAGCCCAGAAGACAGACTCTGGGCTCCACCTCTCCATGTCTCTGATCTCACTGTCAGATGGGAAGGCGGCACCATCTTAGAAAGTGGCAGTTTGGGTTAGCCAAGGTCGTAGCAGCATCGCTTACCGAGGACTTCATTCTGAGTGTCAGCCAGGCCGAGTGTGCTCACATCTGACTACAGTTTAGTTTGTTTGTTTGTGGTTGTTGTTTTGAGACAGGGTTTCTCTGCATAGTCCTGGCTGCCCTGGAACTTGTTCTGTAGACCAGGCTGTCCTTGAACTCACAGAAATCTGTTTGCCTCTGCCTCCTGAGCCTGTGCCACCACCTGGCACATTTTAGTTTTTTTTTTTTTTTTTTTAGTATGTTTTCTTTCTGCTTCATTTTGCTTTTTTTGAAACAGAGTCTCTCTGTAGAGCAGGCTGGTCTTAAATTTAGGATCCTTTTACCTCAGCCTCCCAAGAGCTAGGATTACAGGGGTCATAGCCATGGTGCAATTCACATGCCTACCCAGAAGACCAGGCATCTGCCATGCCCTAGGGCCACCACCTGCCTTTCTGTTGGTTTGCCAGCCTGCTTGGTAGATGCTGGTAGCTTTCTGTTGTCACTTGCATATTGTCATAGCATTGTCAGAATTCAGTCATTGGCCTTCAAATTCTTGCCAATGTGGAGGGCAGAAACGGGGCATCAGCGTCCTCATTTCCCTACCTACCATGCCAAAGCATCATTTGGCTTCTCTGGCCGCTGCTCATAGTTTCTGGGAGCTGTTCACTGCCTAGCGCAGTGCAGTCCCTGCGGGCTGACGTTCTAGAGCCCCCTTTGCAGACAATAAAAAAGCTGAGCGAGGATCACACAGATGAAGTCGCTTGTCACACACAGATGCAGCAGGTAGGTGGCGGAGTAGGCAACATGCATGCTTTGTCTGATTGCAAATTCCGGAGTATTAAATGTGTGTTCCAGCCCGGTACTAGTTGCTTCTCCAGAAAAATGGCTTTCTTTGTCATCCCTCCCTCTTTGGAAGCTTAGTGATGCACAGGACACGTCCATGAAAGGCTGCGTTTCCCAGTGTGAGCAGCAGGTGGTAGTGTTGGTCAGTCGCCCTGAGGCAGAAGCAAGCTGTTCACCGACCTTGTGAAGACCTACTAGGCAAAACCCACCAAATATCAAACATACATCTTTTTCTCCCACGCTCCTTCTCCCAGGAAGTGGTCCTCCAGAAATACTCACGTATGGTAGCAGAGGAAGATACTCAGGGCCACGCTGCCTGTGACAGCCGGAGCTAGAACTCACCTTGGGCCAGAGTAGGGGCTGACTAGAGAATGAGGCATTGTATGAGAGCAGACCGCACTCTGCGAAGCGGAAGGGGATGAAACCCATGGTGCTGGTGACTGAGGTGCAGAGCATTGGCCAGAGCCTTTCACCTCCATCCAGATGTGGCGGTGATGTTTGGACTTCACCTTTGAGGAGTTCGATGAGGCAGGGAGAATGAAATTTACAGCATACCCACCGTGGACTCTTAGGTCGCTGCCTCTCCTCCCCCTCCTCCACCAGGCAGCCAAGGATGACTCTGAACTTCCAATCCTCTTGCCTCCACTCCTGAGTCCCGGGATCGAAGGTGTGCACCCACACCTCGTTTGCTTTCTCCCAGTGTTCCCAGTATATATGTGAAGTTCTCCATCTTTTCAAGTATATTTCATATATAAATGTACTCAAGTTGACAAAATCATACATGTAAAAGGAAAGCTGACCCTCCAGAGTCTTGTGCAGTAACAAACGAGAGTGTTAAGTTCTATTTGAGATATATATGTATACATATATAATTTTTTTAATGAGAAATGGCTTTTGGTAGCAGGGGGAGGGGCTTGAGAGATAATCTTACTGTGTAGGCCAGAATAGCTGGGAACTCACTATGTAGCCCAGGCTGGCCTCAAACTGTCGATCCTCTTGCCTCTGCCTCCCGAATGCTGGGACCCCAGATGTATGCCACCACACTCAAGAAGGGCTGCTCACAGAGTCAGTATGACTAAGATTCCAAAGGCCCTGACTGCGGTGACACCGAAGGCACTCACAGCTTGCCTCTGCCAGACCATCTCTGATCTGAGCTTCCCAGATCCCTAGGGCCCAGAGGGCTATCTGGGGAAGTTACTTGAGCAGACAAGGCTGAAGGCCCCGCTCTGTGGATGACTGAGTCCCAGAGATGACCCGGGCCTCAGTCAGACACACACAACACAGACTTGTGCGTCTCCCATCTCTGGGTCACCTCCTCTGCTGTCAGAACTGTCCTGGACATAGGGGAGGATGGGGCTGACCATCCTCAGGTGCTTTTTAGTTGTTATAAACACCCAGATCTGGAAAAGTGGCTTGGGGGTAAAGTGCTTGATGTCAGAGGATGAGGACCGGATGAGGACCCCAGCACCTAAATAAAGGTTGAGTGTGGTGGCATATGCTCTAATCCCAGCACTGGAGAGTGGGGTAGGTCCTTTGGGGTCTTCTGGCCAACCAATGTAGCTAAAAGTTGTGGGTTCAGCGAGGACCCTGACTCAAAAACTAAGGTGGAAAGCAAGAGAGAAATGGTTTCAAGCTGAGGGTCGCGACCCCTTTGGGTCAAATGAACCCTGCACAGGGGTCACCTAAGACCATTGGAAAACAGGGATATTTACATTAGGATTCATAACAGTAGCAAAATTACAGTTATGAAGTAGCAGCCAGCAATTGTATGGCTGGAGGTCAGCACACCATGAGGAACTGTATTAAAGGGTCACAGCATTAGGAAGACTGAGAACCGCTGATCTAGAGGAAGGCTCCCAACATCAATCTCTGGTCTCCGTATGCACACAGATGTGAGTGCACCAGCATACACATGTGCGCATGTACACACACACAAACACACACACACACACACACTGACTGCACAGGAGAGACTAAAATTGTAAGGTTGGGCCTCAGGGACAGCCAGACATTTCTGTGGCTGTGGTGAGCCTTTTACCTCTTTTCTGGCTATCTGGTCAGGCTACTTTGGGGATATCTGGAGCATTACTGGGAGTGATGTTGTCACCTCTTATGTCCCTTGGTAATTTTTTTTAGAATCCCCCATGCTGATCTCAGCTGGGGATTCACACAGTCAGCCTGGCTGGAGGCTGGGCTCCCAGGACATTGAGTGCTCCCAAGAACCCAACACAGTGGGAGATACAGGAAAGTTTTGTGCTTCAGCTGAGCCCAGGGACTCTCTGCTTTAAATCTAGAATGTTGCACCACCCTAAATAGTATGGAGAAGTTGAGCCCATTGTCTGAAAATGACTTCAAAGACAGCAAGGCCAGGCTCAGTCCACAGTGCTGACCACACAGACACGGGACCTGAGTTCCAATCCCAGAGCCTACATAAAAGCGGGATATGGCAGTACACCTATCATCTTGGGTTTACAGTTTTTGAAGTCAGTTAGCAGCGTTTTCAGTGGGATCCCCTGGGGCTCACCAAATCCACAAGCTCCAGGTCCAGTGACAGATAGCGTGTCTCTGAAAGAAGGTAGAGAGTGATGGATACTGAGTTTCCACCACAGCACCTGGGTCATTGGCTTCTTTAGAGTCTGCCTGGTGGGGCCACTAGCTCGGCCATTCCGGAGGGTGGGTTGCAGTGGTCTGGAGGTCTCTCTGTTCTTCAGATCTACATGGTCTCTTCCTTTGGTGACCTTACCTGTCTGCTCTAGAGGGAGTTGAGTGGAGACACCAGATGTGTGTCCCCAATGGCCAGTGAGGCTCTTTCTGGTTTGCTGAGCCCCTGGTCGTGCATGCCTGGTCTGGCCTTGCTCTGGGCTAGGTCCTGGGGAGGGAGGCTGTTACCTGGAGTGTGGAGTGCTGTCCCACAGAGCCCCACACATTTATCAAATCTCCACTGAGTTCTTGCAGCGAAGAGTTCTCTCTTGCAGGAACAGACCCTTACTCCTTTCTGCTAAGCCACATGGATTCTAGGCAAGGGGACCCTCACAGAGCTTCACCCCAAGCTTTCCCACCAGTGACACCCAGAACACTTGGTGGCATTGTGAAAGCTGAGGCTGGGTGGCCCTGGCCTGGAGGTGGATTCTGAAACTTCCCTCCTCTGTTCTCTGTCTCTGCAGGGGATAAAGACCATGCAATCAGTGTCAAAGGCCGCCTGTGGAAGTTGTTGTCCCCAGCCCGGCTCGCCACCAGGGCTGACCGGAGCAGCTGGCTGGAGAGTTATGTGAAGCACCTGGAGGAGATGGGCGTGTCGGAGGAAATGCAAGCCCGGGCACTGGTGCTACAGCTCTGGGCCACGCAGGTGGGCATGGGTGTGCAGGTGCGGGATCCACTGTGTGTGCTGGTGTGAGCAGATGAAGGTGTGTGTGAGCGCACAGCCTGCTGGCCACTCCCACCCTTCACTCTTTGTCCTGTCCAGCAGCTGTGTAACCAGCAGGTCCAAATGATAGATAGGCATTGCTTATTTAACATATGGGGGAAAAATGGCAGACTGGTAGGAAAGTGGGTCTCAGGTAGCCCAGGCTGGCCTCAAACTTGCTATGTAGCCCAGGATGACCTTGAACATATGAGCCTCCTTCGGTCACCTCCTGAATGCTGGAACTGTAGATAGGTGCCACCATGCCTGGTTTATAAGGTGTGCATTCTGGAAAGGCTTTACCTCCAGCCCCCTGGAAAGTTCACGTGTAGTTTAATGAGCTCCTTAGTTCTCCAGCCCCTCTCACACACCTCAGCTCCTTTCCTTCCCTCTGTCTTGCCGTGATTTTGTCCCATTTGTGGCTAAGTTGCAGATAGCCTGGCTCTTTCCCTCTGCTTACGTCAGAACGTCTCTCAGGAGCAAGATCATTCTCCCACATGGCCACAGCCTGATGCCAAACAAGGAGGCTTAGCCCAGCCCCGGGATTGGGTCTAGCTGTGCCTCACGGTCTTCCCGACGGTGCCGCCATCTTTGTTACTTGCCCACTCCTGTGATGAGACACTCTGACCAAAGCCATCTCGGGAAGGAGGGGTATGTTTTCATCGTCGAGGGAAAGCCACAGCGCCAGTCGCTTGACAACTAGTCACAGTGTGCTTGTAGTCAAGAAGCAAAGAACAGTGAACAATCTATGCCCAGCTTCTCTGTCCCCTTACCCAGGGCAGGACTCAGCCCAGGAGTGCAGCCGCTCAGGGAATGGTTCCTGCTTCAGTTAAGGCAGGATTATCCACACAGGCACCCAGAGGCCCTCTCCCAGGCAATTCTGCATCTCAAGCTGACAACTGAGAACAATTGAGAAGAGCCATTGCAGCCACTTAAGGCTCATCCTAGCCTGGGCCTCTGCACCAGCATCCTACGTGGCACCAAGCCATTCTGCATCTTCGGTTCCCATTCTTCTGGTGCTCTCTTCTTTTCAGTTTTCCAGGATCGTGGCGCGTTCTGTTTTTGAAGTGTGTAGAGAAGCTCCTTTGAGTACTTGCAGCAGGACCTTCTGGGAACGCTTGCATTTCAGGCAGGCTGGGGCAGGGAGCTGAGCTCCAGGAAACATGCTCAGTTGCTGCGGAGGAGGAGGAGGAGGAGGTGTGGTGGGTGGGAAGCAGGGCTGGGGTTGGATCTGTTCTGGGAGTCACAGCTAGAGGCTCAGGGAGGCCTCTCCAGTAGAGACGTTTGAGCTCTTTCTAGATGTCAAGAAAGCTAAGCTAGTCAGGAATCTAGAATTTGGAAATATTTCAGGCAGAGGAAATAGCAAGGAGTTGAGTGTGGCCGAAATCAGGTGACTAAGCACACCAAAGAGTGATGGCGTTGAACCTCCTCTGGGGGGGGGGGCTAGGAGGAGTTCTGAGATTTCTTTCTTTCTTAAGATTTTATTTATTTATTATGCATACAGTGTTATAGAGGACACTAGATCTTATAGATGGTTGTGAGCCACCATGTGGTTGCTAGGAATTGAACTCAGGACCTCTGGAAGAGCAGCCAGTGCTCTTAACCTCTGAGCCATCTCTCCAGCCCGAGATTTCTTTTTTAAGAAACTTTATTTTGTGTGTGTGTGTGTGTGTGTGTGTGTGTGTGTGTGTGTGTGTGTGTGGCTGTGTGCCTGGTGCCTATGAGGCCAGTAGAGGGCAGCAGATCCCCTGGAACTGGAGTTAAAGATGGTTGTGAGGGGCCATGTAGGTGTTGGGAATTGAACCCAGGTCCTCTGAAGGATTAGTGAGTGCTCGTAACCTCTGGGGCAACTCTCCAGCCTCAATTTCTAAGATCTTATGGATAGGATCAGGTTACCGGTGAGGAGGTTATGCTGGTCACTGAGATATTGAAAAATGAAGCATTAATCTAATTAATCTTATCAATAAAAACCAGGAGTCAGATATTGGGGTAAAATCCTGAAAGATCAGAAGCAGAGGAGCAACCACAGTCCCTCCCTACCTCTTCTGTTCCTCCATCCAAATAGCCAAGATCCTGTCTCAGCCCCGCCTTACCATTCGGGTCCTCTCTCTACAGTCCTCCAAACCTCTATGGTCAGCTAGTGGCTGGCGCTGCCCTCCGACTCCAAGCAGGCTGTATTTGTCAGAACACAGTGAAAATATCCCACGACAGGAGAATCAGATAGATGCAGGGAACTAAGATGGCAGACACTGATGTTGGGCATGGGGTGAGTGTTGGCATGGGAGGACGGAGCAGTTGATTGGATGCTGTGAATCTGAGACCTGATCGCTGCTCTCATCCTGCCCAGCCCCCTTGCCTTCTCTAGGCCCCACTTGGCAGGGACTGTCAGACAGGCTCATGTCCCTGGGTGATTCCTCTCCATCGACTGGCAACTTATTTTTAGTTGTCCTCAGAGCTATTAACTGTCCTGCAGGCAAAGGCTGGCAGGGGCAGGCTAGGGCTTAATCAGCAGTTGGCCCTATGCATGACTGATAACATATTTATGGGCCAAAAGGACAGGGTGCTCCAAAGTGTTCTCAGAGCCCCTTGTGGAAATGACTTCTGTCCCCAGAGTAGGAAGTTGGCCAGGCACCGGAGAGCCAGATCCCAGGGAATGGCCTCCGGCAGGGCTAGGAGTGGAATAGAGTCCTCCAGCTCCTGACACAGCTGTGGAGTATGAGGTGGCTTTGCCTTTCTAGCGAGTCAGTCACCGAATCCTGCAGTGCCTCAGTTTACCCACACATACAATAACTAAGTAGCTCCTCCCTGGGCTGTGGTAGGGCAGTAAAAGGAGCTTTTGGCCCACACCCAGCAGGTAGCACTAGCTCAGCAGGTGACTCAACGGAGATCTGTAGAACCAGGCCTATAGCGCACACCTGCCACCCTGGCACTTGGGAGGTGGAGGCAGGAGGATCAGAAGTTCAAGGTTACCCCCTTAGGCACAGTGAATTTGAGGCTAGCTTGGGATACATGAGACCCTGTTTCCAAAACCCAACCCAATGAAACATCAGCAACAGAAATACACTAGGCGCCTTGTGTGCATGGCCTCATTCCAGAAAGTTTGCATCTACAGAACAAGCCCCTGGCAGGGAAGAGCACGATTAATGGATGGGGGAGTCTGTGAGGTCACTAGAGAGAACAGTAGAGAGGCCTCGGTGGGCAGGTGACATCTGAGCAGAGACTTGGTGTGAAGGGTGAGCCACCATGGGCACCTCTGGAATGAGGATCCCAGATGCAAAGGCCATGAAGAGGGCTTAAGGGTGACATAAAGCGAGGTAGCAAGTGTCACAGAGCCCCTCCAGACCTCTTGGCTATGAGGGAGCTTCATTTCAAGCGATGTGGGTGCCCTAAAGGCTCTTCGTAGTAGCAGAGTGGCCAGCTGTGCTTTACAGGGGATGTGGAAGACAAGGAACCAGTCTCTAGGTCAGAGAAGGTGGGGTGGAGGGCAGGGGAGCGGTGGCGGGCCCTAGGGTCCCCTATGGTAGGTGCAAGGCTGGAGCCAGTATCAGCTAGTATCCAGTCAGCTTTGGGTCTGAGCCTGGTGTATGTGTGTGTGTGTGTGTGTGTGTGTGTGTGTGTGTGTGTGTGTAAGAGCTGTTAATGGCTGGGTAAGATGGCAGAGGGAGTGATCAAGGCAGAAGCTCAGGGTTTAGTCACACGAGATGCAGATGGTCTAGAGCTCAAGTTAAGGATGTGGACCAGAGACAGACCCGTGGGACCCAATGGTGGACAGATGGCCATTAATGCCATTGCACTGGGGACAAGGGGAGAGAATCAGAGTACAAAAGCTAGTTCCAGGACAGCTAGGACTGTTACACCGAGAAACCTGGTCTGGGAAAGAGAAAGGAAGGAAGGGAAGGAGGGAGGGAGGGAGGGAAGGAGGAAGGGAGGGAGAGAGGAAAGGAGGAAGGGAGGGCTACGAGAGACCCTGTCTTACCACGGTGGGCAGTGCCTGAGGGACCACAGCAGAAGTTGTCCTCTGACCTCTGACCTCTGACCTCCACCGGTGAAGACTGGCATGTGCACCGCCCCCTAAAAACACCTGACACCTCAGCCTCCCAGCCCCCAGCCCCTCCCACAGGTGACCTTAGGGCTGGGTCCTGTGTCTCCTAGAGACAGTCCTGCTTCCTCAGATGACCCCTCTTCAAACCCGCAGCAGCTCTCAGGAGCGCTGCCACACACCTTGCAGCCTGCCTGCCCCGTGCGTCTTTCAGACCCAAAGGAACCGGGACTTTCTTTAAACAACTTACCACACAAGAAGTCATTGGTGTCAGCTTGTTTTCAATTTGGGGGTGCTGTATCAGGGCTGCAATTCATGTCCTCTGCCCAGTGCAATTGTGCCTGTAAGACCTTATCGGGAAAGATGATGTGTAAGGATGCTGTTTGAGTCTGTGACTACAGTCACATGTAAGGATAGAGAAAACATCCCGGCAGGTTGGGGTCGCTGGGGATCCATTGTAGGCATCATTGGAAGGTGGGTGGGGGCTGGGTGAAGATGTTTAGGCAGGTCTGTCCTGGTCTTAGAGCACACCATGTCATTGATTTTTCGGTTTCAAAAAATTTTTGTTAAAAAAAAAAAATGAACAGCTTTTTAACTGCTCGTCACACAAGAAGCATGTAAGGAAACTTTGCTTTCTAAACTATGAATAGCTATCCTTATCAGCTGGTTAAGCCCAGCAGCCTGTGTTGATAGACATGAGCTCATAGGTCTGTGGATCTGGCTGGTCTAAACTGGCCCAGCCGGGGCAATTTAGCTGGGCCCTGTGTGATCTCACCCTGCATCCAAAGGCTCAGTCAAAGGCCAGGGCTTACATCTACTATTCATGAATTCCACTTCGCGCTAGTTGTTGGTCAAAGCAAGTCCATAGCTGAGCTCAAGTTCAAGGGCAGGGAGGTGTGCTCTGCCTCTCCTGTGGAAACTGCAGAGGAACGTGGAAAGGGCCAAGCGCAGCCACCCTCAGACAGTCAGTCTCTTGCCTTGGGCCTTTCTTCTCTTGTACACTTGTTCTGGCAAAGTTTGGAGGCTTCCCTGGGTGACCCCAGACCAGGGGCTTCACTCATGGTCAGCATGGCAAGAGTGGCCTTCAAGTAGGTACCAGGCTCAAACAAACAAAGCTCCAAGTAGATTTTGGCCACATTCTGGGGCTGAAACTACTGGTGATGCCTAGGTGCTGGCCAGCGTGGGAAGCAGGCACGCTGAGCGCTGCACTATGGCCCAGCATGAGGAGCCCTCTTGGTCATTTGGTAAGTGACAGGCTTCTCCTCGTTGCAGGGGAATATGGGTCCCACGGCCTTCTGGCTCCTTCTCTTCCTCCTCAAGAATCCTGAGGCCCTTGAGGCTGTCCAGGAGGAGCTGAAGCGCACTGTCTGGCAAGCAGAGCAGCCCGTTTCACAGATGACCACCCTCCCACAGAAGACTCTGGACAGCATGCCTGTGCTAGGTAGGATGGCCAAGCCTGCTCACCTGGGTACCTCCAAGGGTCCCTCAGTGTCCTCCTGGTCTCAGGAGGTCTTTGGTGTTAAGTGACAGAGGACTGTGATGAAAAAGGCTCAATCCGAGTCATGCCACCCGACATCTTGAGGTTTCTAGCGTCAGACTCAGGTGGACCCAGGTGCTTGGACAGTATTGCCAGGGCTAGCTCTCTCTCCATCCTTCAGCCTCGTTTTCTCCCAGGGTGCCTCTGGTCTGTGGAGGCTGGACAGCTGTCAGCTGCTGGAGGTGGGGCCTCTCATCCAACATCCCCATCGAAAGTCTCAGGAACGTGTTCTTTGGTTTGGGGTTTTATGTCCATCCAGAACCAAACACAGGGCTCAGAGGGGTAGGTTGACTGGGTCATGGAAGCTCAACCCCACCAGCTAAGGGCAGATCAACTGTCCAAATTCTGGGAACAGGGGTGTGGTTCCTAAAGGAGGTCAGGGGACTGTTTCCAGAATGGAACATACCCTACAGGTAGAAGCAGACACTGAGGCCCTAAACTCTCCGCCCCAGCTGTCTGATATCCCTGTGGCTCCTACTTTCCCGTGTCCCCTCACATCCAAGGGTTTCTCAGGGACCATGTAGTGCACACTTTGTCATCTGGCCCTCCCCACCATGCTGTGTGATTATGTGCAAGTGTACACCCTCTGGTCATTGTTGTATTTGCCCATTGAGAGGGCAGCTTGCTAACCCTTCCTGCCTCATCCTTGCAGACAGCGTGCTGAGTGAGACCCTCCGGCTCACAGCTGCCCCCTTCATCACTCGCGAAGTCATGGCAGACCTGGCCTTGCCTATGGCAGATGGGAGGGAATTCTCTCTTCGACGCGGTGACCGCCTCCTCCTCTTTCCTTTCCTGAGTCCCCAGAAGGACCCAGAAATCTACACAGAGCCTGAGGTCAGTAGCAGGGGCAGGACTGGACATCTCAGGGCCTGTGGGTGTGTGTGTGTGTGGGGGGGTGACTGAGGGATCAGCTGGTCCTGAGTGGCAGCCTGCTGTGATCTTCACTTCCTCTGCAGCCTGTCGATTGTCATCTGCACAGTCCTTAGAACCAGGTCCTGTCCAGTCCCTCCCATTACACTCAGTTATGACAAGTCTGCATGAGACCCCCAGCCCTTCATCCTGGTGCAGGCTTGTGTGGGGTGACGTCACACATCACCTTCTCGTTCCAGGTTTTTAAATACAACCGATTCTTGAACCCAGATGGGTCAGAGAAGAAAGATTTTTACAAAGATGGAAAACGGCTGAAGAATTACAGCATGCCGTGGGGAGCAGGGCACAATCAGTGTTTGGGGAAGAGCTATGCCATCAACAGCATCAAACAGTGAGTGGGGGGGGCAGGGCATCAGGGCTGGCAGGGCATGGCGGCAGAGATGCATGGCCCATCAGGGAAGGGCCCATTGGTGGGGTGTGGCCAGGGCAGGGCTTGGATGCGGTCCAGGACGTAACCAAGGTGCAATGATACCTGATGTCTCTGTTGCTCTGACTGATGGCCTCGGGCTAGTGGTTACAGGATTAGATTCCAAACTGGCAGAGAGTCAGCTCCTGTCTGCAAATCTGCTTATTTGTGGGTTTTTTTTTTTTTTTTTAAATGTGGGCTTTTTTAAAAATCAGAAGAGTTCTTGAAAAAAAAAAAAAGCCACATCTCTGATTTCTTACACAGTGATCAGATCTGGCAGCAGGGTTGTCCCTCTGAGGGTGGTGTGGGAACACCAATCGCTGGGTGCTCAGTCCAGCTGGCCATGGCTGTCCATCTGTGGCTGCTGCAGCAGATTCTGACCTTTGTGGCCGAAACTGGCCGAACTTCAGGGTCTCCCCTTGGCTGTTATAACTCCTGAGAGAGCCAAGAAGCTCCTATGTTCTCTTCCCGGGATTCCACTGAGCCTCGGTTTCCAGGATCGCAGACTGCCTGGACCAGGGTCTGTGCTATCTGCCTGTAGTTCCTCCTGCAACCTCAGCCTGTCTCCTCAGCTATAAAATGTGGGTGCTGATTACAGCTCCAAAATGGATCAGAACGGAGCTTTCTATGTTCCTACCCCCACATCTGACTCATCACAGGCTTTGAGAATTGGTAACCCGTATCTGTATTATTCACGTCATTACCGTGCAGACGCATTGCCAGGGGACAGTAAGTCATGGTAGCCTTTTGATCTCACTTTTCTCAACAGTGAAGTGGAGATAATGATGGAGTCAGCTCTGCCCTGATGTTTCATGTGCCTTCCCCAAAACCACCTTGCCATGCATAATCAGGCAGTGAAAACAACAGGTATCAGGCTCAGGAGCATAGGCCTATAATGCCAGCTATGGGGCAGGCTGAGGCAGGAGGATGGTGAGTTCAAAGCCTGCTTTGGCCACTTAGTGAGCTCTTATATCAAAACTAAGAATAACAAGATGATTGAGGCTGGATCTCAATATGAGGTGCTAGCCTATCACATATGAGGCATGAGGTTCTGTCCTCAGCATCACAAAACAAAACAAACCTAAAAAAGAAAACAAACTACGGATTATGGGCAAAGGGAGACCTAAGCCTAGCAGCTGAAAATGTCCCCAGTGACTCACAAGGACAATTACAGCCAAATGGAAGGTGGTCACGAAGTTTACACCTGCTTAAGGCACGTACAGGGGTGGAGAGCTGGCTCGGCAATTAAGAGTGATTAAGCCATTGTAGGAGACCTGAGTCTGGTTCCCAGTACCTAGGTGTGCAGCTCATAACTGCCTGTAACTCTTGCTCCAGGGAATCTAATACCCTCTTCTGGCCTCTTTGGGTACTGCACTCATGTGCACATATCCCCCTACCACACACACAATAAAAAAATAAAACTCTTTTTAAAGGTACAAAGTCTGATGAACAGGGTGGTCAGCTGATGCTCATGTATGTATATGTATGCTAATGCAGGCTGTGTGTTTACCCCTGTGTCTGGAATGTGAAACGGCATATGAGCAAATGGTTGGTTTGCCCTCTGCTCATGTTTGCGCCCTAACGTATCGATCACCAGGATGGATTCTCTCAGTCAAATCAATAACTGTGACAGAACTGATTGCAGTTCCTGCTTCATCCGGTTTAGGGACAGACAAAAGAGGTGCTGGGTACTATGTGTTTAGCACCGTGCCTAACTCATGACATCTCAACTAATGAGTGAATTTGTTGTGACTTCAGTCAGTGTGATCTCCCTGATACGAGGCTCTCAGCCAATGGCAGCTACGATAGCCCCTACCATTGGGGACACGGGTAGCAAGGCCTGTCTCCCTCCAGAGCTGGAAGAGCCAGCTTACCTTTGCTCCCTTTGACCCCTCAGGAGAACCAAGCCCCCAGTTGGGAACAGGCTGTGGCGAGGGTCTCACGTCCCCGTAATGTAGTGGGCCGGTTTCCCTCAGCTCATTGTCTGCTCCTCTTTCAGTGAGGAGAGAGTCCTCAGCATGGCTTCAGGCCCCGGATTGAGGTGGGGGACACTGATGAGGCACGGGACAATTAGGGTCACATGGACAGTAGTGAGTCATAAGCCGGAGCCTGTCATCGTGTCACTCGGGCACTGATGGCGTCCTAGACATGACAGCTCTGTGTGTCTCCAGAAGGTGTCGGTAGAGAGTGCTGCCTTGAAAAGGTGGCCCTTGGTGACAGTTGCCTCCCGTGTAAGAAGTCTTGAGGGAGTGGTGCAGGTTTTTATAGGCACTCTTGGTGAGTGAGTGAGGCCAGGGCTTAAGAGTTCTAAGCTTAGGGAAAGGGGGTGCTGGCTTGTAGAGAGGCAGGAAGAGACGTTCTTAACATCACAAGCACTGTGATGCGCCCGGGACGCAGGACTGCCCAGCTATCCTGGGTGTGGGATTAGAGACACGTGGCTGGGCCTTCCTTCTGGCCACCCCATCATCTGCACCCGTAGCTGCAGGCAGTGTGGAGTGTGGAGAAGCCACACTCTGGCTTTTAGGGCTGTGCTGTAGAAATGACTGCTGCAGAGACAGCCACTTAGCCTCATTCCACTCTGAGCTGTCCCCACCGGACCAAGCTCTGCCAAGCTCAGAGAAGCTCAGTCTGAAGCACCCTCTCTCCCTGCAGATTTGTGGTACTCCTACTGACTCATTTCGACCTGGAGCTGGACGGCGAGGACACAGAGGTCCCTGAGTTTGACCTCAGCAGATACGGCTTCGGCCTGATGCAGCCGGAGGAGGATGTACCCATCCGGTACCGTAGCAGGCTGTGACCTGTGGAGCAGACACTATACTCACCGGGGGCCTCCCGACTTCCTCTGCCTTCGTCACTGCCCCCCTGTTGTTCTCCTAGAGTGCCGTGTCTAGAGGAAGGGACCTAGAGGACACAGAGAACAGGAAAAACCAATAGAAACGCTATAGCCCGCTGTGAGGACACTTCCAAATCAGGCTGTCTGGGCTCTGGGTTCACCTGTGCCTCCTGTCCTGGGTACCCACAGTCCCCGCCACCATGCCCCTAACTCCCAGAGCAGCCACTGCCCCCACCTTTAACAGCCCCTGTAGTCCAGGCCTTGGCCAGCATGGCAGATGCGGAGACCTGTGAGGATTCGTCAGTGTGTTTTAAGTTCTGCTCCCAGATTGTTAAAGAGACATTGTCCTCCCTCTCTTCATGTGTCTACCTGGGAAGATGCAGGCTCTACTCTGAGGGATAAAGTCCTCTGTCCTTGATTCACAGACAGTAGGTAACAGGGCTTTCCTTATGCAAAAACTGGGGTGGAGTGTGCACAATTTTAGGAAAAAGGCCTGACTTCACGGAGACTATAATTTGCAAACCTCTGTTTAACTGCAAACATGCATGTTTCCCAAGTGTCTTTATTCTTTTTAATTTTTATTTTTGGTTTTTTGTTTGTTTGTTTTTGAGACAGGGTTTCTGTGTGTAACAGCCCTGGATATCCTGGAACTCACTATGTAGACGAGGTTGGCCTTGAACTCATAGAGATCTGCCTGCGTCTGCCCCCTGAGTACTGGGATAAAAGTGTGCACCACTGCCCAGCATCCCAAGTGCTTTTAATTGCTGAGACAGGCACAACATTTCTCACAGAATCTTGGAGATGATGTGGTGTTATGCCAGCTTTCCAGATGAAAAAGCCAGCTCAGAGAGGTTAAGTGACTTGCCTAGCATCACACAGCTCTTGCCAGTAGAGCCCACTCAGCCTACACACCTCTCCTAGAAGTGGATGTTGGGTGGGCAGTTTGTTCTTCATCCCTAGGGCTCCAGGGGTGGTAGTGGGACACTTCTGTTTGGCATTGGAGAGATGACAGCCAGGAACACCCAAGCTTGGTGCAGCTTATGAGACACAAACACATCTGTGATGAGGTCCTTTTAGCTTTGGCTGGAAAGACAGAAGAGGCCCTGTACCTGTGTGTTCCAGGGGCTCACCTCTGGGAGCAGAGCTAGGGCTTAGAGGCTTCCACAGCCCTGGGTCTCCAGGCACCCTCGGGATTCCCGGATAGACAGTGTGATTGGCAGGAGTCTGGGCATCCCCAGGGAAACCCATCTTCATGCTTGGGTGACCCCCCCCCCACTGCTGCCTGCTTCTTATCTTTGCAGGAAATCAGAGCTGGCAAGCCTCCTGTGGGAGGATGAGCCAGTTTCCATGGCAACCCCCAGTTGCCTCCTCACGGCTGAAGAGGAGGAAGAAAGTGGCAGAAATAGCTGTGGAAGGTCTCACAGGCTTCAGTCCTGGTGCTAGAGGGAAGCCCTTCAGAGTGCCATCCTAATTGAATCAGGCTGGACTGTCCCCAAGATGCTCACCTGTGCTCAGCAAAGGGCTAAGCTCCCTTTAAAGGTGGCGCCTCCTCAGCCACAATCACGAGGGAATCAAGTACGGGGAAGATGGTTAAGGTCAGGCAGCTCCAGCGGCTGAAGCAGTGCTCGGAGGATAATGTTCATGCACGCCCTCATTTAAATTCCTTCCCCTTTCTGTTTCTTTCCTTCTTTATAATAGGCTGGGAATTTAATTCAGTTGGTAGAGTTCATCTCTGGTTTTGTAGAAATTGGGTTATGGTGGTGTATGCCTGCGATCCCAGCAAGGTGGAGGCCTGAGGATCAGGGGTTCAAAAGTCATACTTGGCTACATCGTGAGTTTGAAGCCAGCTTGGGGCTCACAAGACTGTCAGAAGAAAAGAGGAAGGGCCAGAGGAGTTGGCAGCTTAGAGAGGAGAGATGAATTAGCCACCTGCAGGAGCGGGGTCTCAGCTCTCCATCCCTGGGTGGTAGGATGTGTGCTACTCTTCAGTCTGATCTGGACCATCTCACTATGCTTCTGCTGTTACTTGCTGTTCATCAAATGCTTTTTAAGCAGATCTGTTTGTTTTTCCAATGCTGGCAGGAGTGGGCCTGTAGCATTCACATCCCATAGAAGTGTGGACACTGGGGGTTGAGTTCTGGCCCCAGAGCCTGTGTTCTTGGGTGAGATGAGCAGTGTGCTGGCTGAGGCCTCGCCCATGTCTCCTCAAGCTTCTCATTGGTGGACCCACTGTGGGTGAGGGGTCCAAAAGAAGCCCTGTCTCCGGGGAGAGAAGCCTACTTTGGGCATCTATCCCAGACTTTGGTTTTGATGCTTTTGTCATTTTTAATAAACACAGCATCACAGTGTGTTTCGTGAGTGACGTGGTGGTGTAACCTTGCCGTTTCAACATAGTGCTCGAGCTTCATGTCACAGATGGACCTGTGCCTGTCAATTGAACTGCCTCTGTGTGATTCTGAAGAGGGAGCTTCTGGGTCTGGAGGTGAGGTCGTCAGGTACTGGGAGGTGAGCAGGAAGTACTGGGAGGTGAATAGGAAGTACTGGGAGGTGAGAAGGAGGTACTGGGAGGTGAACAGGAAGTACTGGGAGGTGAGCAGGAGGTACTGGGAGGTGAACAGGAAGTACTGGGAGGTAAACAGGAAGTACTGGGAGGTAAACAGGAAGTACTGGGAGGTGAAGGGGAAGCACTACCCCACCAGGCCTCATCCTGGAAGCATGTTTCTTATTGTGAACAGAGTGAAAAACTAAAAATAGGGGAGCTGGGGGGGGTAAGAAGAAGAGAGATGGAGAGGGAGGTGGGTGGCCGGGAGCACTAGCCAAGGACAGTAGAGAGGAGGGGGTGGGTGGCCGGGAGCACTAGCCAAGGACAGTAGAGAGGAGGGAGGAGGGAGAAGCACTAACCCTGAAGGGCAGGGAAGCTGAGCTCTCAGGAATATGTCATACCAGGGGTATGCGCTTGCTAGCCCTTGATCTCTGTGCGTTTGGTTTCTGCTTTTGCACACTCCTCTTGTGTGTCTCAGAGTTCCCTGGCTCCCTGGAAGGGAAGAGGGATTAGCTTACCTTTAATTGCTCTGCTGGAAGCCTGCACCTAGGTTGTTCCTGCTTTTTATCATCTTTTGGCCCCACACCCTGGAAGTCAATGGCTTTCAAAGTCCTGGCTACAGAGAGGCTCCCTCTGTGGGGACTTTCCAGTAGGTTTCTTCCCTGAAGAGAACCCAGGAGACCATGCTGGGGTCTCACAGAGCACAGTGTGCATTAAGCGTTATAATGCACACGGCCGAGGCCATTGTTAGGTGGTGGGTGGGAAGGTTCAAGGATGGTTAGGTGGAGGGGTGGGTGAATGGGTAGGTATATGGGTAGGTGGATAGATGGATGAATGCAGTGATACATCAATGTCTGAATGGATGAATGGTTGGGTGAGTGGATTTGTAGGTAGATAAATACACTGGGGCCATGGCTGGATGGATGGTGGATTAAGTGAGGAGGACAGATGGGTAGGTGAATGACAGATGGACATGTTTAAAGGTAAGTGGTGTATTGGTGTATGGGTAAGAGGTTGAGTGAATGGGTGGGAAGATGGACAGTGTGGGATATTTGATGGAATGGAAAGGAATGAGTGGGCAAGTGTATGGTGTTGAGAGTGGATAGGTGGCTGGGAGGGCTTATCAACCGAGAACATGGATTGGGAGGATGGCCAGGCTAGTGGCTAGGTGATAGACTGAAGATGAGGTGGAGGAATAAAAAATACTGGGCTGGCCAGAGAATAAGCTTTGTTCATTTGCAGGAACTGGGCCAGGAAACACAGGGCTTCATAAAGACAAGTGGACTCAGAAGAAAAAGCAGGCATTGAAGGCAGATCTGGTTGTGCAGGTCCAGGATCCCAGCTACTCACACAGCTGAGGCAGAAGGATGGCGAGTGTGAGGCCAGCCTGGGCTACGTAGAGGGGCTAGACTCAGACAGCGCATCCTAGGGTCAGCCAACAGTTTAATGGTCTCCTTTATATTGTTGCCCTCAGAGACAATACACACAGACCCCCTGCCCTGAACTGTGTCTGCTGCATAGCACACGGCCAGCCATTATTACTGTGCTTGTTTCCGTGAGTACTTCCCAGCATCGGGTGGCATGTGTAGCCACTCTCCCAGCACCCTGCCAGGTGGCCCTGTTATACTCACCATGATGTTGATTATGGAGCATAACAAAGTGGTAAGCGAGAGAGGACGAGTCCCGCCGATGGGATGATCCCGACAGCAGGGTTCCATGCAACATGCACTCTGATATAGAATGATGTCCCTATGTCCCCTCCGATAAAACCACTTTTCTCTACCATGGATTTCAAGCACACAAGCATGTGCACCTGTGTGTGTGTGTGTGTGTGCGCGCGCGCGCGCGCGCACATGCGCGCACATGTGTGGTGTGTGCCTATGTGTGTGTGTGTGCAGATGTGCGTGCATGCATGTGTCTGTATATGTTTGGGGGTACCTTAGGGTTTCTACTGTTACAATAAAACACCATGACCAAAAGGCAATTTGGGGAGGAACGGGTTTATTTGGCTTATACTTCCACATTACTCTTCATCACTGAAAGAACTCAGGACAGGAACCCAAGCAGGGCAGGAACCTGAGGGCAGGAGCTGCTGCCAAGGCTGTGGAGGGGAGCGTCTTACCAGCTTTCATCACATGGTTCTTTCAACCTGCTTTCTTATAGAACCCAGGACCATCAGCCTAGAGATGGCACCACCCATCATGGACCCTCCCCCACTAATCACTAATCCATGCCTTACAGCTGGATCTCATGGAGGCATTTCCTCAATGGAGACTCCTTCCTTTCTGATGACTCTAGCTGTGTCAAGTTGACACACAAAGCCAGCTAGAATAGGAGGGGAAGGGGGGGGGCAGATGGGTGCATGGGAGTATGGTATTAATTAGCCTTACTCTATCCAGAAACTCCAAGAAACCTGAGTAGGCTGCCCAGTGGGACATAAATGATGGATGGTATCATGGCATCCAGTGAAGCCAGACCTGGAACAGTGGAGTTAGAGGGAGCAGCATGGGTGGAAATCTTCCCAGCAAGATGCTGGGCTGAGGCCCCAGTAGGCTTGTCTTGAGAGGACAGTGGCCAGAATCAGATGATCTGGTGTTGGAACTTGGCTATACTGGGATGCTGCCCCCTCCAGGAATGTTGTGGCTTGGTCTTAAGTCATCCCTTCTTTATAGAATATTCCAGTTGTAGTTCATTTTCCCTCCCTCCCTTCCCTCTCTCCTTCCCTCCATCACTTCCTCTCTGTTTGTTTAGTGGGTTTGAGACAGGATCTCACATAGCCCAGGTTGGCCTAGAACTATTTAAGCAAAGATGACTTTGAACTTTTAATTTAGTTAATTAATTAAATGTGTGTGGGTAATTTTGCCTGCATGTATCCCTGTATACCACATGCATGCCTGGTGCTCTCAGGGTCGGAAAGAGGGTGACCGATCCCTTGGGACTGGAGTTACAGTGAGCTTTGGCTTTGATCTTTCTGCCTCTGCCTCCTCAGTGGTGAGAATACAGGTGTGATCCATCATGTCAGTTTTCTCTCAGCTTCTCTTATGTTTTTTAAGATTAATTGTGTGTGTGTGTGCACGCGTGTGCCGTGCACTCCTGCCTTTGAGGATGTGTGCTTGTGCATATGCATATGTGTGTGCACACATGAGTGCAGGGGCCCAAGGAGGACAGAAAGTTCCAGACCCCTAGAGCTGGAGTTAACAGGGGGCTGTAAAGCTGTCCGGTTTGGGTGCTGAGCATGGAACTTGGGTCCCCTGCAAGAACAACCACTGAGTCACCTCTCCAGCCCCCTTCCCGATTCTTATATGTCTAATTTCTCCTTGAGCTAAGAAAATGTCCGGTCTATGGAGAGAACTGTCACTGGTTAAGATCTTTTGGATAGGGGTGACAGACTGACAGCTGGCAGGACAAAGGGAGTTATTTCACAGCACACATCACTGGGGCTCCAGGGGCGCTGGCTTCAGGAGTGGTTGGATCCAGGAGCCCTAATGACAGACCCCATCAGTTCTACCTCACCGTGTGATGACTTCACCTCCAGATAGACTTGGGTGAGGAGGACAAGAGGCTTCCTCCCTGATGCTGGTCACCTTACTGAATATGCTATCATGAAGGCATGGCAGCGGCCCCTTTGTAATGACCAAGCACCATGCCTGGGGACAAAGAGCCTCTGCGCAAAGCAAGGCAAAACAAAATGGTGGGAGCAACTCCCTCCTAAGCTCCTCAGACTTCTTCATGGATTAGCTAAGAATTTTAAGTTAGTAACTTGTTCTCTTATCTATTGGTGTGTGTTATATGTTTGGTGCTTGTTCACATATGCTCACATGTATGTGCACACGGATGTCAGAGATTGGTGTTAGGTGTCGTCCTCAGTCACACTCCACACAGGGAGTCACACTCCAAACAGTGTCTCAAACAGTGTGTCTCAGTGAACCTGGAACTTACTGATTTTGCTAGGTCAGCGAGCTCCAGCAACCCCCTGGCTCTGCTTTCCCGGCACTGGGATTAAGGGTGTGTACGGACACCACTGGTCTCGCTTATGTGCGTCCTGGAGATCTGAACTCAGGTCTCCCTGCTTGTGCACAAGCATTTTCCATCTCCTCACCCATCAGCTAAGCATTCTGGTTACTTAGGTTGAGCTGGACACATAAGCCCCTCCCTTAGCAACCCCCAGTTGCCTTAGCAACCTGCAGTTGACCAGACAGAGCCATTGGTGGTAAAGGGCTTTAAAAATTTCCTCACAGGGGCTGGAAGGATGGCTCAGCAGTAAAAGCCCTTACTGCTCTTCCGGAGGACCTGGGTTCTATTCCCACCACCTATATGGTGGCTCGCAACCATCTATAACTCCAGCTCAGGGGATCCGATATTCTCTGCTGGCGTGCCACGTAGTGCACAGACATATGTGTAGGAAAAGCACCCATACCCATAAAATTAAATTAAATTAAATTTTTCTCAGGGCTGGAGAGATGGAGCAGTGGTTAAGAGCACTGGCTGCTCTTTCAGAGGTCCTGAGTTCAATTCCCAGCACCCACATGGTGACTCACAACCATCTATCTACAGTAGGATCTGATGCGCTTGTCTGGCCTGCAGATGTAAGTACAGATAGAGCAGTAGTACACATGAAATAATCTTTAAAACAATTTCTCACAGATACCCAACACCAACCTCTATCCTCAACACACATACCCACACATGCACAAAAATACACAAAAGAGAAGACTTTTTAAAAATCCCCCTCATAGCCCCATAAAGCAGATGCCATCTCTATGGCTACTCATTTTAGAGATGGGGATGTTGCAGTTCATCGAGGCT